CCCATAAACCCCTCTGTTTCAGCCCTGTTTCAAAAGGGCTGATTCTCTGTCTGTTACTTTAGATGAAAATAAGGAGCCACTCCCCATGCCCCTCTGCGAGATATTTGGTTAAAAAGAACACAATGGTGCTCTAGGAGGAGATTCAGGTGATAAGGTGTGTGGGGGGGGGGGGGGGGGGGGGGGGGGGGGGGATTATTGGCTAATGGTTACACAAGCCCAAAAAACGTTATGACATCATAAAGTGGCCAAAATCTGATCAGCTCATTTTCAGACAGGTTTTTATATAAATGGACAACCCAGTCTCACGGCATTTCGTGTTATAGTCACGAAATTAATTTAATCTATTGATTCGTGTTCACCAACACGATTTTCACCTTTTTTTCGTGTCACACAGAACGATTTTAAATGCAATGTATTTCTATTGGTAGTATGTTTCGTGCCGGCAACACGTCTTTTTGTCCGGTCGGGTCTTGGAAGACCAGAAGCTGTGAGGTTCATAAAAACATGTTCTTACTCAATATCTTACCCTAAGCCTAACCCTATCCCTTTTATTTTAAATTGTATAATGTCTGAGTTTTTTTGCCGTCAGCGAGGAAAAGAAATGGCTCAGAGCCTCAGAATACTGACATCTGTATTTTATGTCATCTTTTTTTCCTTCTAATTTGTTATTATTTGGTGCAGGCACGAAACATACTACCAATAGAAATACATTGCTTCTAAAATCGTTCTGTGTCAGAATACTTAAATCTGTATTTTTTTTAATGTCTTTTTCCTTCTAATTTGTTATTATTTACATTGCTTTTAAAATCGTTCTGTGTGACACGAAAAAAATGGCGAAATCGTGTTGGTGAACACGAATCAATAGATTAATTTCGTGACTATAACACGAAATGCCGTGAGACTGTGTTGAAATGGATCAGGACAAAAAGAGAGGGAATCTTTTTTCGTGAAACGTTCAGAATCTCTTTACACAGAGGGGACACATGTTTATGTATAAAAGACATGACAAAGTGGAATTTGCATAATAGGTCCCCTTTAATGTAACTATGGACTTTAGGCGCCGTTTACACAAGGACAAAACTGCTTGTATCTGCATAGTTTCACGTGCGTATAGCCCTATTATTTACACAAGGCCGATAGAAACGGACCCCACAAACGATAACGGGTCCCAAGGTGGATAGATTTGCAAACAAAACGCTCTGGGGGGTCAACCGAGTCCGTGTAATCACCTCTATACGAATATTTCCTGAAAAAATAACGATAGCCCCACCTCTCCCCGCCTCTCCCCACCTCTCCTGCTCACTGCTGTAGCATGGCCAGTAGCCATCTGTAACGATCAACTATCAAAAATAGCTGTGTTAATTAAACGCACAAGGGGTTCTTGAATGAAATAATATTATAAATGGCAAACCAGAATTGTTAACGCCCAATATACTCCTTAAACAAAATAAACAGAGTCAGATTTCATGCATTGATCCATTATATTGACAATTTTCCAGCCAAACAACACAAACAAAATTAAACAGTCCGCTCTGCGATACACCAAACTTGTCTTTACTGCCTAATCCAGGCCATTATTGTTCATTGCTCCTGCGCCCGTCGGCGACAAAAAGAGAAATGTTTGTAGGCAGAGGACCGGCGTGTCCCAGAGGAGCGATCTCACCCGATGTTTGTAGAGAATATCTCTCTTTCTGAGCGCGTCCTCTCCACGGAGACGTGCTTCTTGGTCGGTCGATGCAATATCCACAGATTCGGTTTCTTTCAGTTAACTTCCCCGTTGCATTTATCCATATGCTGAGGAAATTACTATATCCCGCTGAATACCAGCAATCGCCACACACACTTCCTCCCGTCAGTAGCTACTGCTAGTGCTACTGCTACTGACCATGCTACAGATATTAGTGCGAACGTTTGCGTTTATGCACAGTATGCGTATTCAAAAAAGTCTTCCGTTCACATGCATTCGTTTCATTTAACGTGTCTGTTCAAACGAGACCGCTGGAAACGCTGTAGTACATATGCCGGGACTGTAAGTGGCGCTGTAACTTCCGCCACAAAATACACCAAAAGCAGCGAAGAAGACTCGGGAGCAGCCCCGCAGCAATGTTGCCATGGCTACCCTTCTGTTTATGCCCCGCGGTGTATTTAGCAACATGTAGTTCATGTAATTCTCCATGTCCACTTGTTGCTGATGGTTGTGGTAGAGGAGCTGTAGATTTTGCACTAATATCTGTAGCATGGTCAGTAGCAGTAGCACTAGCAGTAGCTACTGACAGGAGGAAGTGTGTGTGGCGATTGCTGGTATTCAGCGGGATATAGTAATTTCCTCAGCATATGGATAAATGCTACGGGGAAGTTAACTGAAAGAAACCGAATCTGTGGATATTGCATCGACCGACCAAGAAACACGTCTCCGTGGAGAGGACGCGCTCAGAAAGAGAGATATTCTCTACAAACACCGGGTGAGATCGCTCCTCTGGGACACGCCGGTCCTCTGCCTACAAACATTTCTCTTTTTGCCGCCGACGGGCGCAGGAGCAATGAACAATAATGGCCTGGATTAGGCAGTAAAGACAAGTTTGGTGTATCGCAGAGCGGACTGTTTAATTTTGTTTGTGTTGTTTGGCTGGAAAATTGTCAATATAATGGATCAATGCATGAAATCTGACTCTGTTTATTTTGTTTAAGGAGTATATTGGGCGTTAACAATTCTGGTTTGCCTTTTATAATATTATTTCATTCAAGAACCCCTTGTGCGTTTAATTAACACAGCTATTTTTGATAGTTGATCGTTACAGATGGCTACTGGCCATGCTACAGCAGTGAGCAGGAGAGGTGGGGCTATCGTTATTTTTTCAGGAAATATTCGTATAGAGGTGATTACACGGACTCGGTTGACCCCCCAGAGCGTTTCGTTTGCAAATCTATCCACCTTGGGACCCGCTATCGTTTGTGGGGTCCGTTTCTATCGGCCTCGTGTAAATAATAGGGCTATACGCACGCAAAACTATGCAGATACAAGCAGTTTTGTCCTCGTGTAAACGGCGCCTTAGACACACACACAACTTCAGTAACCTCAGAAACAGCTATTCAAAACACTTGTGTTAGAAATCCCACTGTGTGACATAGACTTACAGTAAGTATCATTTTTATATTAACGATATATATTTAAACAAAATATGCAATAACATCTATTTTTTTATTTTTTGGCCACTCACTTTGGCCGAGTTCCAGATTGAGGTGATACATATCTGCACATTATCATACTGGTTTTTTACAATAAAAAAGGGCATATTATTATACAAATACATGTTGAAGCATCTATGAGGTTCCAATGATTGGGAACACTTGATATAAATACTTCAAGCAGGTTTACATATCAATATTACAATACCTAAATTCTGGTTGACATGTCAACATCCTCAAAGATGTTGAAAAAAACATCCATCTAACTCAGTGGTTCTCAAACTTTTTCTGTCAGGCCCCCCCTTTGGAGAAAAAAAAAAGTCGGGCCCCCCCAACACAAATAGTCAGGCTCAGTGGCGGCGACAGAGATTTATTTTGGGGGTGCTGTGGGGTAGCTTGACGTTTCATAGAGGGTGCTCAAACATTTAGGGTTTCCCATTAATGTACCGGTCGCTACAGTGGAATTTTCTACTGCAACGATCCCCACGCATATACACAATGTACCCGCGACTGTTACAATGAAGGCTCGATAATCAGCTCACGGCATATAGGTGTAAGCAGGGGTAAAGTGCTATTTCTATAGGTGGTGTGTGGACCTCACATAGGGGGGTCCGGGGGCAAGCTCCCCCGGGAAGATTTATTTTTAAATATTGAAGTTAAAAGCATCAATCTGGTGCACTTTGAGAGCAACATGAAGAGATCTATGGATACATCTCTCAACACCCATATGAAACAGAACTGTAAACAGATTTACTTTTTCTTTATCGATATTTTACAAATCACCCTTTTAAACTTTATTCTTTTTTTACTGTCATATAGTATTTCATAACTGTTTTTCATTTATTCTCTTATTTTTTTATAACTATAATGATCATATAAACGTGTGCCTCGGAAATAATTGTTTACATTAATGGTGACCAAAACGTTTGAGACCCACTGAGATAACACTGAGAGGGTCCTTTAGCTCACTGAGTCTCTCAGTCTGACAGAAGAGGACTCTCCTCCACTTTGTTGTTGAAAAGACTCCTTATATCCGTTAGCGTAGCTCGCTAGCACCAGAAGCTAACAACAACGATCTCCGGTACCAGTGCGCTCTCTCTCGCTCGCGCACGCACACAAAATGGCTCGTTCCACACACACACAGAGCCGAGCTTTAATGAAACACAGAGACCCAGACGTAATAGTACTGTATCATATTATTTTCGAATCAATAATCTTTCAAATTATGATTTGCGCCCCCCACTTTGAGAACCACTGATCTAACTGATCATCACAGACAAAAGCTACATTAATAAGATGAAGCGAGGAAGTGCTTGACTTCCCCAAACTTCTAACAAAATGAAGTTGGAACAGAAACAGTATTTCTGGAGCAGAGAAAGAGGGCAAAATGTAAACAAGATGGCGTCTTCTTCAGCTGAGATGTAACCAGCGCCGGACAGTTTCTCGTCCATGTAAAGATGCACTCTTCCTTCTTTGCATTGATATTGTTGGTGATGTTGTAGAGAGAAAGTAGTTCCTACATGAAACTGCTTACAACGAAGTCTGTGGATTACTGCTCATGATTTCTGGGAAGAGGCATTCCAGTTCAGGTCATTTCATTATATTGAAGAGGAGAAGATACCTCCAAATCTCTGCACCTCACACCAAAACAATTTAGATTTATAAAAAGCACTACAGGTACAAGGAAACATATGTGTTTTTAGTTTTGGTGTGAACTAACCCTTTTAAGATTTGTATTCCATTATGATCCCTCCACGAGTTATTTAGACATAGTAACACATAGCAACAGAAACAAACAACAAAAACAAACTGAGAAGAGAGTGACAACTTTAATGTAAATTCATATTCTGTGATAAATTGTACACAAATAAAAAAGATCTCAATGAGTCAAACTTATTTTTGGTTTATTTCATGTCATACAACATAACATAAGAGTGAACAGCAGTATGAATATATCAAGGAACCCCCCAGGAAACAACAGGCATCAATGACAGAAGGGTTTAATCTGTATCATTTCAAGGTTTTTTCGGCCTGAACCTTTTTTTTCCCAGAGTCCTGTCAGGCTGAAGCTTTCCTTTCAGTTCAGCTCAGGCCATTCCAGTTCAGATCAGTTCAGCTCAGGCCATTCCAGTTCAGATCAGTTCAGCTTGATTCACTTTAATTCAGTATGCTTCACCTAGAAATGACTCTCACTTCTGACAGCGAGCTCTTTTACTCTTGTCTCTTTACTCCTGCTGGCTGCATGTGATACCTGCAGGGAGACAGAGAGGAGACATTAGCCTGTGTGTGGGGGTGTGATGCTGACCAAGAAAAATAAATATAAGACTCAGTGTGGGTAAAAACATAGAAATAGCACGTAATTAGGAAGTCTAGGAATAACTGGGGAAAGGAGATGTTTCTTTAAAGATTATAAACGCATTCGTAAAAATATAAAATTGATAAAATCATTGTTAATGCTACTAACAACATGAAACATTACGAATCAATGTATAAACAGCTAAATAATGAGATGACTGTAAAATACACACACACACACACACACACACACACACACACACACACACACACACACACAATTCAATCAGGATTCTGCTGCTGCCTGGGGGAAGCGTAGTGTGGAATCTTCACTATAGTGGAAATCACCTTTTCCATGTCATTTTACCCAGCAGCACCTACACTACACACAGAGTCTGGCTGCTTTCACACCGAGGACCAGGAGACTTTTTTTTAACTCTTTGTGGTGTAGATCTCACACCGTCATGGCTGTCTCAGCCAAAAGAGTCTGTGATTTTATACAACCGTGGAAAAAAAATCAGCTTCAAAGAGCTAAGTGATCATGTGACAGCAGTGGGTTTGGTGATGTGAGCTTTCTAATCTTAGGGCGTATTCACACCAAGCTGTTTTGCACTTGTTTAAAGCCTGGAGTGTTTCACACGCAGATTCGCTTTGTTTGGGAATATGCGAACACATAAATCACACTCGTACGTGGAGCTAAACAATTCCAGTTCTTGCTAGAATCTAATATTTTTAACATTTTATGAACACTGGTATATTAACTACATGCATTATCTTGGCAAGCAGTGTACCAACATTTTTTGCAATCTTTCCGAGTTTATTTGAATTGAGCAGCTCACATATTTTTCGGACTATTTGAACATTTCAATAATGCATGCACAATAGCCTGATATACAATGTTAACATACATTTTGTGTATCCGTCTTGTGATTGGGAACTACGTGGGGCAAATACATGGTCTTCCTTCATTTCTGACCAATGAAAGAACAGCTTTCTCACGCATGACAGTTATTTTAGACTTTCGGACCATAATTGAATATTGAAAGGTGAAAATAGTGTGAAATAAGTCTCTGAAATGGAAAAAATCTAATCAACTATTAACATACCTGACTAAAATGTTTCTATATAACAAATAGGAGGTTCATTTATTTTAATCAATCTGTATGTCTATTTGGGAACAGTGGCAGTGTTCGATTCAATTGGACAATATGCTAAGCGAAGCTAACTAGATGCTAGCTGTAGTTTCATATTGGCATATAGAGTATGTAAGTATTGAATTTATCATTTAAGTCGAGCAAGAAAGCACAGAAACAGCCCAAGTATTGAACCATCATCGGTCAGAATAATTTTATATGGGCAAAAAGATTTTCTTCTGCAAAGAATCCAAGCCAAAAAGTGAGAGTAACTTTAAAAGTATCTAAAAAAACCTAGAGCTGACATTTGAGCAAAGGAGGAGGATCTATCTGCTGGACGAAATTCAGAAAATGTGAGGAGATATTAACCATCTGTGTTCTGCCATGTGACAACCATCTCAGAGGAGTGTCGAAGAAGAGGGCAGTAACATGTTGAGCATCTCATCAAATCGCTCTGGCTTTAAACGGCCTCTCCAGAGTGTGTGTTTAGCAAATTAAAGGCCAGGGATTTTTTCATAATTGTCTATTTTATCATTTGATTACAGCTAGCTTTCCTCTGATGGGCTCCTTTATGATTGATCAAATACAATTACTGCGTGACTTATTTCAGGAGCTCTCCATTGCTGAGGACCATTAGTGTGTGTGTGTGTGTGTGTGTGTGTGTGTGTGTGTGTGTGTGTGTGTGTGTGTGTGTGTGTGTGTGTGTGTGTGTGTGTGTGTGTGTGTGTGTGTGTGTGTGTGTGTGTGTGTGTGTGTGTCAGCTCTAGTGTTCTTAAATAGCATTAACTAATTGGAAAAACAGGAAAAGAGGCTGGAAAAGCTAAATTGTCTTTGTGGATTTATACCCCCACCCCCCCCACTTCTTTCCCTCTGTTGCTCTCCTTAAATATTCCAGAATCTAAAATAAGAGGAAATCATGTTTTAACTGATACACAGGAACTCATTTGGAATAGTTTCATTTTTTTGCTGCTTTGATATTTCTCGAGGAAGGAAGAAACAGTCGGATAGAGAGATAGAAGGAAGGGAAGAAGAACGCAGACAGAGGTTAATTCCATGCCTTCCCCTCCCTGGTAATGAAGTGTAGGTGGCGTCCCGGTCACTGCAGCTAATTGAACAGCGGAGATTACAGCAGCCGTGGCTCCTCTGTGAAAAGAAGGCCGTGTTCATTAGTCGTTGCCATATAATATTCATTCTCTGTAGAAATATGTAGATAGTATTCTATGCAAAGAGCCGCTGAGATGATTTTAAAGCTCTCAACATGTATCGTGTAGCAATAACTCAAACAATCCTTATTTGAAAAATGTCAAGTCTCTGGCTGCAGATGCAAGAAGGTTAAAACACAACAAAACGGGGACACTAAAAAGTGTTGGGAACGGAGTGCTTGTTGACAACCAGGGATAATAAAGTTCTTCATTTGAATGTGTTTTAGGCCCATTTGTGTTTTTTATTATCCTTGTTGAAAGTGCAGCCGGTGTTCTCCTAATGGAGGTGATTTAGGCCGTTGTAACGTGTTTGCCTTTGTCGGCCACCGTAAATACCACTGTGCAGAAATACTCTGTTACAAGCAAAAGCCCTGCATTCAATGTAACAAAAGTAACCAGTGTGGCCACATAAATGTGAACAATTAGCATACAAGTGAAAAAGCCTACAAGTAACTTAAAATTGTACTTAAGAAATGTTCTGAGGTTCTGTTCACCCCTGCTGTCATGCACCTTGAAGAAAGAATACTATATATTAGTTATGAACACACCCTACGAAATGCACTTATTTTGTGCGGAGAGTATTGCTGAATATCTGTCTCAATATTTCAAAAAGGTCATCAGCTGAAATACCTGTCTTTGGAGTGTAATTGTGCCGAAACACCATGTCAACGTCACTCCACGCTATCCACATATTCCTTTATATTCTCTTCTCTTCCAATGAGGAATGATTATGGAATACAATATGTTCCTACAGTCTCTGTCTATCATGTTCTCTGCCTCAAAGTAGATAGGGTCAGCACTCCAGATGAAAACACTCACACAGTGTGAATAATAGTGTATGTTGTCGATTTTAGCAAATACTGTGCAAAACAGGATTACATAATCAAAAGAAGCACCGGTAACCCTGGTAAATGTTGGCGTGGCATTACAGCCTCTGGCATTTCATGTTCATGAATTTAATTTGGCTCTTCACACCATGTTACATTCATGTCTACAGCTTTTTCTTTCATTTTTATTTGGGGGGGTTGTGGTGAAGTGTGCGCATGTAATAATAGCTAAGACGGAGATATGCTGCATTTTCTATACTGTAGAAATAACAAGAAACAACATTGTTCTTCCAAATGAACTGCATCCATCAGACTGTATTGCATCTTTTGCTTTGTTTCCCACATTTGTATTATCGTTATGTTGAATTTCTTATGGTTTTAAATGTGCTTCAGAACAGGTGGATGTGACGCTGACTCGTTCCTCTGGTTTCCTGACGCTGGAAACAGAACTGTGTAGGAGCACATCTTTATAAAGACAAAAACAAAACTCCTCTCTGCTTCTGTCACTTTTCTAACCCCATCGAACCCTGTCCTCTTACCGTCACCCTCCCCCCTTTTTGATTGCCCATCCAGCTCAGTGGGACCCTCTCTCTCTCTCTCTCCCCGTCTCTCACTGTCTCTCTGCCTCACTCGCCCCCTCCCTCAGGGCAGAAGTAAACCACGCCTTGAGGCCCTGCTCCCATTGTGTATCCTCTGCTACTTCTGTTTGGGGCCTTTGTGTGCCGCTAATCAGCCGTGGGGCCATGCTCAGCCTCGTGTGTGTGTGTGTGTGTGTGTGTGTGTGTGTGTGTGTGTGTGTGTGTGTGTGTGTGTGTGTGTGTGTGTGTGTGTGTGTGTGTGTGTGTGTGCGTGTCCCTTGCCCTCATTACGTAGCCACACTGGGAGGCCAGCATGGGAAGTTTCTGCTGCACTATACCCCTCCATCCACTTCCCCCCTTCTCTCTTCCCCTCCCTCTAGCTGTCCATCACTCCCTTCTTCTCCCCCCCCCCCCCCCCCCCCCCCCCCCGTCACATCTCGCCACCCCAAGACATAAAGCTACACAGGCCATGATTCATAAATGAAACTACACCTGTTTCAGCCTAAAGTGAGCGTCCGACGACCATAACTAAACTAGTCCTACCCAGTGGTGGGAAGTGACAAAGTACATTTACTCAAGTACCGTACTTAAGTAGTATTTTGATATATTTGCACTTTACTTGAGTATGTGTATTTTTTGCTACTTAAACTTCTACTCTATTACATTTAAAGTAGAGTAGAACTTTAAATGTTCTGCAACATACAGTAAAGCACTTTTTACTCCACTTGTTTTTATTTAACACTCATAGTTACTTTTTCATATAAAAACATGTGATTTCTTTATTTGATATATTGCAGTACTAATATACAAAAATACAACCCGGTGCAAAAAGTATCTAATAGTGCATATTCAAATGCCCTGACATGTTTATGTTAGAGATAGACACAGTAATATATATGATTATTTAAAAATATATAATATTGTGATGAGAGCCATTGCGCATATTGACTACTTTTACTTCTTATACTGTAAGTACATTTAGCTAATTATACTTCTGTTCCTCTACTTAAGTAACATTTTTAATTCAGGACGTTTACTTGTAATGGAGTACTTTAAGACCATAGTATTTCTGCTTTTACTCAAGTAAAGCGTTTAAGTATTTCCTCCACCTGGTCCTAGCCCATGATCAATTTGTGTTATCAAATTAAACTGGTTGCTAGTTTGAAGACTGATATTTACTTCTGCAAATGAATACTAACTAAACTCAGCATAACAA